TATTTAGCATTTAGGAAAAGCCATTATAATTATCTATTAGGCTGGCGCAGATGTATTTTTAATACATTGTTTCCAGTTTAGGATGTTGAACGCTGGATCTTCTTGACTTAATGCGTGGGTATTGCTTGTGTCTCTATTTTTATGACTGGGCAACTCATTCTATTATCTCCTAATGAGGGTACAGCTCTAAAACTCAGTTTTATGGTTCTGAGGCCGGCTGGTAGTCAGGTTTCCCGAACTCTGTGGTAGCTCTCAGAGAGGCTGATTCCATCAACAGCCGAAAAATATCAGAGTACTAACAGTGCCATGTTGCGCATGGATGGTGTCCCTGTTTGTACTTTTGGTGTGCATTGCAGAGGCCACATTTGGAGCCCTTTGTTACGGCTTAGGGTTTATTAATAGTAATGAGGCTATTGCTTAGTTGTTAAATAGTGTACTGAGTACTATCTATACTTGAGTCAAGTTTTTTATAAATTTAAAATGACTAAAGTACCTAAAACTAAAAAACACAAAAAACCATTGTCATCACCAAGTTCTCTAAACCTATCATTTACTAATATTCGTGGTCTTCGAAGTAACTTTTCTTCTGTTGAGTCTTATCTCTTGCAAAGTTCACCAGACCTACTTGCTCTTTGTGAGACTAATTTGAGTTCGGCTGTCCCATCTTGTGATCTTAGTGTTGATGGTTATCTTCCTTTAATTCGTAAAGACTCCAATAATCACATGCTTGGCCTGGGCATCTACATTCGTAAGAACTCACCCATTTGTCGTGAAACTAGGTTTGAATCTACAGACTATTCATTTATGTGCTTTCGTTTAGCACAACTTCACTCTATCGCCTTTCTCTTTGTTCTATATCGCTCTCCTTCATCCCAAGATTGCACTATTCTTGATGTTATTTCTGATCAAATTGACCAAGCCCTCTCTCTTTATCCATCGGCCAATATCGTCGTTGTTGGTAACTTTAATGCCCATTACACCGATTGGCTTGGCTCTAGTGTCAGTGACTCAATCTCTAACTCAAATAGTCAACTTTCCAACTCGTTTTCCAGACAACCCTAATCATTTACCTTCTCTACTCGACTTATGTCTTGTTTTGGATCCTAGTCAGTGCTCAATTTCTCCACATTCACCCTTAGGTACTTCTGATCACAGTTTGATCTCTCTAAAACTATTATCAAATTCTTCTACTTCATCAGAATCCCCCTATCATCGTACCACATACAACTACCTTAAAGCTGACTGGGACTCTTTCCGTAATTTTCTTCGTGATGGCCCTTGGGTAGAAATCTTTCATCTTCCTGCTGACAAATGTGCTTCTTACATAACTTCGTGGATTCAGGCTGGCATGGAATCTTTTATTCCCTTTCGACGATTCCAGGTCAAGCCTCACTCTTCTCCTTGGTTTTCCTCACATTGCGCTGCAGCAATTTCTAATCGAAACCGTTACTTTCATATCTATCAGCAAAACAAATCTCCAGAAAACAGACATCTGTTCACTATCGCCAGAAACCATTGTAAAAAGGTTTTGTCTGACGACAAAGCTCGCTATTCCCAGGTCATTAAATCTCGTATCTCATCACAAAAATTAGGCTCTCGAGACTTCTGGAGAATCTTTAACAGTATCAATAATAAGGGCAAATCTGTTATTCCTTCTCTCTTGTATGGTTCAGACTTTGTCACCTCACCTAAAGACAAAGCTGAATTGTTTGCTAAGAACTTTTCATCAATATCATCTCTTGATACCACTAGTTGCGTTTTACCTGACATAGCCGTCAAACAGGTTGATCCCTTGCTTGACATTCGCATCACTTCAGCTTCTGTATCTGAAGTAATTTCCTGCTTAGACTCTTCAACAGCTTGTGGTCCTGACAACATTCCTGTTGTAGTCTTGCAGAGGTGTTCTCCGGAGCTTTCATCCATACTTTCTAAACTATTTAACAAGTGCTTATCAGAGTCTTGTTTTCCATCATGCTGGAAAGCAGCATCTGTTATCCCTATTTTCAAAAATTCCGGAGAGCGATCTGATTCATCTAACTACCGTCCCATTAGTCTTCTTCCTGTCATAAGCAAGGTTTTTGAATCTTTAATCAACAAACACTTAATCTCTCATCTTGAATCAAATAACTTACTTTCTGATCATCAATATGGATTTCGGTCTTCTCGTTCTACAGCTGATGTGCTAACAGTAATAACCGATAGGTTTTACCTTGCATTAGAGAGAGGTGGAGAGGTTAAGGCTATCGCACTTGACATTTCTAAAGCTTTTGATAAAGTTTGGCATGCTGGTCTTCTCCATAAGCTTTCTTCTTATGGTGTAGCTGGTAACGTCTTTAAGATTATTGAGTCCTTTCTTTCCAATCGTAGTATAAAAGTTGTCCTCGATGGACAACACTCTTCTTCACATCCTGTAACTTCAGGGGTTCCTCAAGGTTCAATCCTTGGCCCTATACTCTTTTTAATTTACATTAACGATCTTCCAGATATTCTCACATCTAAGGTGGCATTATTCGCTGACGACACTACCATTTACTCTTGTCATGATAAGAAGCCTACACTCTCTGATTGCTTGGAGGGGGTATCTGAGCTTGAAAAGGATCTCACTTCTGCTACAGCATGGGGCTCACAGTGGCTGGTGAACTTTAATTCAGATAAAACTCAATTTTATTCGGCCAATCGTTATCGTAATAATTTAGATTTTCCTATATTTATGAATGGTAATGTACTAGATGAGTCATCTACCATTCATCTTCTAGGATTAACTCTTACTTCTGATCTTTCTTTTAAACCGTATATCAAATCCATTGCAAAATTAGCATCTGCTAAGCTTGCATCTCTTTATCGAGCTCGACACTTTCTTACTCCAGATTCTATTCTCTATCTCTATAAATCTCAAATCCGTCCCTGTATGGAATACTGTTGCCACATCTGGGGCGGATCTTCTAATGATGCTCTTTCTCTTTTAGACAAGGTGCAAAAACGAATTGTAAACATAGTTGGACCTGCTCTGGCAGCCAATCTCCGACCTTTGTCACATCGTCGTAATGTTGCTTCTCTTTCTCTTTTCTACAAATACTATAATGGGCACTGCTCTAAAGAGCTAGCGTCCCTTGTGCCATCTACTAAAATTCACTCTCGTGTTACTCGCCATTCAATTAAGTCTCATCTTTTTTCTGTGACTGTTCCTAAGTGCTTCAAATACTCTTATTCTTCTAGTTTTTTTCCTCGAACATCAGTTCTTTGGAATTCGCTTCCTTCATCTTGCTTTCCTGATTCATATAATTTGCAATCTTTTTAGACATCAGTCAATCGTTATCTTGCTCTACAGATTTAGTCTTCTCTCTTCCAGTAACTTCTAACTCTTATAGTGGTTGCTTGCAGCCTTGTTGGAAGTGAAGATGTTAAAAAAAAAAAAAAAAAAAAATTGCTGTATTTGTACAGAGTTAGATTTTTTAAAATTGTTTTTATTTTTTTTTTATTATTTCTGAAACAAGACAAAAACTTTAGAATTTCATTTTTTATAAATAGAAATGTAACCTTTAATTTAAATTGTATTTCTAGATAAGTTTTATAGTCCATTGTACCTGGCCTATAAATGCATCCACAAAGTATCTTTTATTAGCCAATATGCAATGTCCAAATTTAACATTTTATCAGAATAATAGTTTTCATATTTTCTTTGACATATATACATACTACCCCTTCTTGTTTACTTTATCTTTCAAAACTACCCCGCTTACTTTATCTTTGCAAAATATATTATAATTGGAAACATTACTTAATAACATTTAATTAAACTACGTTTTACTAATAAAAAATATATGTAGGTAAGATATTTCAGCAATAAATTCATTGCATTTACAATTTGATGATGAACCACTTTTTTCATTTCTCAGATAATGTTTATTAACTCAATTGATTTTGAGTCATAATATATTTTCAAAACTATTTCATTGATAATTTTTTTGTTCGTGTCAGTTGATTTATGAAAATTGATTTTGTTATCTTATAGGTTTTTGGTAATTGCTATACAGTGATTTTCACTACTAGATTATATCTGATGCTGATGTATATCAGATGTATTATATATCTTATGCTGATGTTTATCAGATGTATCATATCTTAATGGCTTCATAATTATGGATGACAAAACGTACATCAAATGTGATATCAAACAGCTTCCAGGTCCAAAATTATATATGTATTTATATATATACAAGTTAAGCTTTATCTTCCTGTTTGCACCAAAGTCTTGAATTTTAACATTTTTAAAGTGTGACATTTTTAACTTCTTCTGCCTTGTAATTTCAGAGGCTCAAGAAGCTTCCAAAAAGTACAATAAACTTCAATCTATTTATCCTATGTAATCTCATCACACTTATTTGTACAGTTAAGTAAAACATACATAAAATTTTTTTTAATTTTTAAAAAATTAAAAAGTTAATTAAGACATACATAAAAAGTATATTGAATATGTATATACGTACAGGGATCAAATAAATGTTGAACATCAGTGCTCCCGGACTATTGAGATCTGAATTATGGATGCAACCAAAATTTGTTAATTTTTACTGAAAAAATGAATAATGGTTTGTTGCCATCCTCTAGCAGGACACAAGAATGGTTCAAGGGGCAACAATGTCTGATACTTATTTTGACCCATGTATAATGTATAACTTATATAATACATGATCATAAATATAAATACATCACAATATATTTAAATGTCTCAATCTATATCATACTAATGCTTTAAGTATATGTATATGAATAAACATATATACAAATGTATTTGAATATACATTTAAGTATATGCATGCATAAAGAAAACATTTATTTTTACTAAAAACTTTGGTTTTGGTTTTGTTTTGTTTTTGTATGTTAATTAAAATTTTATTTAATAATTAAAAATGATAAAAGTACTTACATAAGATACTCAACACTATAGCAAAAACATAAATTTTGACTAAGTAGAAACTGTGAGATTAACTAACACTTACATTTAATTTTTTCAAAGGTCCTTTCCATTTGCAACTTTCAAAATTAAGACAATAAAATTCTAAGGAGCAAATTTCTTCCATTGCTTTTTTGTCATTGAAGAATGTATACTCTATTTTGTCAATTGGGCAAAACAAAGTTCGACTATAACACAAAATATATATATACATATCAAATGTAAAACAATTTCCAAATAAAGTGCAGGCTTGGACAGGAATGGCGTGCGATGGAGCGCTATTGCTGACCACGCAAATGATTCTATTTTTTGACAACTTGACCACGATTGTTTATGCATTTTGATAATTTAAACATTTCAAAAAATGTGCTGAATGTAGAAATGCTAAACTAGGAAAAAAATTAAATACTAATGAAAAAAAAAATTTCTAATGTAAAAGAAATGAAATTTTTTTACGAAAAAGAAATTATAGAAGCACTAAAATAAAAAAATAATAAAAACCTAAACTCGAAGCAAAATGTTTTGTTACGTTTTTAATTACGTTTGAAATAAATCTTTTTAAACGATTTATTTAAGTTACGCAAAAAGCTTTTAAATTAAGTAACAAATTACTACTAATGATTGTTTAAAAAATGAACAAATTTTATCAAATTTATTAAAAAGTGTTGTATTTAATATTTTTAAATTGTATAAACATTTATTTTCTCAAAAAATTTGCAAAAAAAAAAAAATTGTTTAAATTTTTGTAAAAATAGAAAAAAAAAAAAAAAAGATTGCGCCTACGATTTAAAAAAAATAAAGTGCCAACAAGCAATTTAATTTTAATTTAAACATTACAACTTTAATAATAAGCGTTTTGCATAACGAATTTAAAAATTATTATATATGATTTTAATTCATTCATTAATTAAAAAATTATTAAATAAAATGTTTAAAAGATTTAAAAAAATCGTAAGTTTAATTATAAATATTATTTGTTACAAAATAACATTACAAAACGGTTCAAAACATTTCCATGAATCAACAAAATACATGTTTATATAATTGATTAAAGCTATTTTATATTCTTGTATAATTCACATAAAATGTGTAAAAGCTAGTAGTGGCAAAAGGTTTTAAACTTATTCATAAATTAAAGTAACTTAAACTAAAATCTTTCTAAAATTAATGCTTTAAAAAATTTTTAGGAAAAAATAGGAAAAAAATTTCAAACGTTTAAATTTATCATGAAAAATACATGCCTGCTTAAAAAAAAATTATATATAACATTTTTTATTAATTTACGCATGCGTCTATGTAAACAATCATTAAATAAATAATTAATTATATAGTTTTATTTTAAAGTTTTCACCTAAAATAAAAATTCCAGAAAAGATCAACGATTAAAAGTTATTTATAATGTAACACTTTTAATTGCATCTAAATTGTTAAAACATTAAACTAGCCGTGGTCAAGTTGTAAAGAAAATTAACTATTAGCGTGGACAGTTACAGAGTGCTATCGCACACCATTCAAAATAATGCCAATTTAAAAAAAAAAAAATTTTAGTTTATATGAGCAGATTTAAAAGGTATTTACATCTAAAATGTGGAATAGAAATGGAATATTTGCTTTTGATGTAAATTTCCCAGAGACGTTAAATAAATTAAAAATTTACCAACATTTTAGCATTGTATTACCATATGACTGAAAATCTAATTGTTTACAAATATCAACAATTTGTATACAAATTTAACAATCATTATTTGCTCCTTAGCGGATTACAAAATGTTCTTTAAAGCAAACACATTAAGTCAGTTGTCATTATTTCAAATACAATTGTCATTATTATCGAAGATTGCTTCAACAACTCATGGGAAGATGATGAGAGATTATAAGAGAATTTATATTATAGAATAAAATTTTGATTAGTTAGTTTTTTATTTGATGAGGTATTAAATATTCTATAATATAACTTGTTGAGATCTACTACTATATAAATGTATAATTTAACTATAAAAAAATCAATGATGTTTACGCATATCTTTAATGTTACTTAAGGTGGGTGGGGGGAGGTACAAAAACTGACATCATATATAAGGGGGGTTTGCCAAAAATTGACAGTTTGAAAAAGGGCAGAGGTGGTCAAAAAATTGAGAAAAATCACTGACATCATTTATGGACAGCCCTTTAAGCATAAAGATTTTACTTTGCCTATCAACAGGTAATGCATGTATGTTTAAAAGTTTATAAAAATTTGAAATTTATAACATTAAATTTAATTTTTAATTTTGTTTCAATGTATATCAAACAAATTACAGCTATCAAATTATTTATAAAAAATATTTGGTCGTAAAAGTATTTTCAAAAAAAACTAATACCTTGACTTGATTTCCACACAACTTTTACAAAACCATTCACCGCAGCACCCAGTTTGTACAACATCACAAAGCAAGTTATTACAAACTTTGCATATATACTTTTCATCAATAACTCCAACAGGGTTAGCTTCTACTTTGATTTCCAATTGCAAACTTTTTGATATATTCACAGCCATTATACTCTTTTATTTTATTTTATATATATTTTTTTTATACTTTTGGTCTAATCTATAATAAAAAATAATAACTAATCTAATAATAAAAAATGTTTGACCCCAATTTGTTATCAAAATTTTTTTATAAGTAACGATAAATAAAAATAACATGTTTAACTAGTAGTGGGGACCTGTAACACGGGTCATGATTAGATTCCACACCCTGTCATATAGTTCTGCATACTGCATTTTAATAGCTTATGGTTACATACATACATACATACATACATACATACATACATACATACATACAAACATACACACATACATACATACATACATACATACATACATACATACATATACCCACACATCAAGGCTCAATTTAATTTTTTACAAAGTCCCAGACAAAATGTCCGATCAAAACTTGCTTAGGTCGGACAGTGTCTGATCAAATTTTTATCGGTTTTATGGAACCAATCAAAATCTTTTTCATGTTATTCAGTTTATATAATGTTAGTCTAGTGAAGTTGAAGTTTCTTTCCTTATTATTTAGAATAATTCATCGTAGTTTTTGATTTTGAATAAAATTGTTTTAATTTAATATAGTATGTCTTTTTAGATAGACAAAGTTTGTAACTGACAATGCTTATTTTTTTATTCTTTACAATTTGCCAACAGCTGTTTTGATATTTTAACAATTTATATGCAATTAAAAATTTCAATTAAATTTTAATCGTTGATCTTTTTTGAAGTTTTTATTTTAGGCTAAGGCTTTTATAAAATGGAATCAAAAATTAATTATAACAATTGTTTTAAAAATAAATGCATTTTAGGTAAATTAAATGTTATATTAAATTTTTTTTTATTAGATATGTATTTTTTATGATAAATTTAAATGTTTAAAACTATTTTTTTATGTCGTTCTAAAAATTATTTATAAGATTATTTTTTTAAGTTGCTTTAAATTATGAATAAGTTAAATAAAATCTTCCAATGATTTAACCGCTTAATTTTTGTTTTGTTTCTATTTTTACGAAGAATTGTTCAAAAGATTTTTTTTAAAACCTGACTTACTAAGAAAATTATAAAATTATTAAAAATTACGATATTAAAAAGACAACATTATTTTTTTAAACTATTTTTTTTTTGCAACTTTTTGAAAAAAATGTTTATACTAAGTAAAAATGTTATATTTTTTTCTTTTCAAAATAAATTTGTTCGTTTATTAGACAATAAAAGTAATTTGTAAAAGCGTTTTGCGTAACTTTTATTAAATGTTTTAAAAGATCAGTTGTAAAGTAATATTTTTCAAATCCAATTAAAAACATAACAAAAAGTAATTTCTATTTCGAGTTTTTTTAGTTTTTTTTTAATGCCAATATTATTTTCTTTTTCGTAAGGAATTGTTTTGCTTACTCTTTAGTTTTTTAAATTTTTTTCCTAGTTTAAGTTTAGGTTGATGTTTCTTTTTTCAGCGCATTTATGTAACATTTAAATCACTAAAACATCTAAACAGTCGTGGTAAATTTGTAAACAAAAAAAAAAAATCATTTGCAAAGTCAGCAATAGCGTTTGATCTCACAGCATCTCTGTTCAAACATTATTTTGTAAAATTTAATTCCCGTCGGTCAAAATATTCAATTACTTTGTAAATTGGGCAGAATATCTGAGGTTTTAGCCGGACAATGTTCAATGTCCAACCATTAAATTGAGCCCTGCGTACATACATAAAAGCCTTCTTGGAAAGCGCCTAAGGTCACATGTCCACATAAAGTAAACATGGAATAAGCAAATGTAAATAAACATGGAATAATTATATATATATATATATATATATATATATATATATATATATATATATATGTATATATATATATATATATATATATATATATATATATATATATATATATATATACATACATATATACATTTATATATATATATATATATATATATATATATATATATATATATATATATATATATATATATATATATATATATATATATATATGTATATATATATACATACATATATACATTTATATATATATATATATATATATATATATATATATATATATATATATACACGCCTTGGCAGGAGAAAATGTGCGCTGAAGTGGAGAAAAACTCTCCTAGAACAAACATGGCGAGCCATGCGAGCTGCTCCTCTAAACTGCTTTTTACAAGAGCTTTTGGTTTTTGCACAAGCTATCTGTTTATTTATATAAAAATTGCTTATTAAATACAAAATTTAGATTCATACTTGTTACAAGCATAAGTTTGTAACATTATTATTACAATAATATACACATAACAAGAGTCATTTGTTGTGCCATGAAAAAATAGTTCATACATAAACTTTTTTTTTTGTTGTTTCAAAAATCCTGCCTATTTATTATTCAATGAATTAAATTTTTTTGATTTAGCTTTTTTCATTTTAGCTACAATGTTAATTAAACTTTTGAGAATACTTTTAGACGATATATATATATATATATATATATATATATATATATATATATATATATATATATATATATATATATATATATATATATATATATATATATATATATATATAAACAGTTTAAAACAGAAACAAAATTAACTTTTTTAAATAAAATTTCTTATAGGTATGTCAAGTTATACTACAAAGGAAAAAAATAATTAAAGTTTTGGAAATGCCAGTACAATTTCTATACCTAAATCCAATAGAAAATGTTTGGAGGACATTAAGAGAATAATTAGTAGTCACAACAGCAACAATTAATCAACAGGATTTATTTTTGTTAATTAAACACACTTAGGAGGAAATACTATTTGATTTTTAATTAATTTGGTTGATTCAATGCCATGTAGATGGAATGCTGTTGTTGTAGCAAAGGGTTTTCTAACCAAGTACTTGCATTATGTATATATTATAAATTCTGTATAACTGAATTTAATATATAGTAAAAGTAATTTTAGTTATGTTTAGTAATAGTAATAGTAATATATACTTCTGCATAAATAATATTTCAAAGAACATTTATAAATATAAATTTATATTAACTAACTGTGCAGTCCAACAACAAAATATGGTGCACTATAGCAGCCCAAGCTTAGCCTGTCAAGTAAAACCTTAAATTCATTGACTGATTTTGATGTCATTCAGTAGATAGTTCCACTCCTTAACAATTCTATTTTAAAAAAAATTAATGTCTGAATTTTTGACAATCTCTCTCACAAAATTTCTTCTAATATTTTCTGTTAAAGGCGAGTTCTACTATGTTAGATTAAGTCTATTCACTCGCTCTTTATAAGTAATATTTTTCATACAATGTGCAACTTTCGTAAGTGCTCTTTGCTGAACTTTTGATGTACTCTTTGCTGAAATTGTTCAATTTTAAAAATATCTCAGGCATAGTTAAAAACGTTAACTAATGATACATAACAATGCGCGTTAATTTTCAAACCAACCAATAAAAATTTTATTAGTTTAAAATTAAACGTGCCTTTATACTATTAGTAATGTTTTCATAATGCTTAACTTTTTATTAAATGCATTTTTATAAAGTTATTTGTGAAAATTCCTCAAGCTTTATTTGTTAAATATTTGAATATCCGCTTTATTTTTTCTAGATGCTTTTCTACTTTAATTATTGTTTCGAATTACTAATATTGTTTGAAGGAAATATTAACTTTAAAAGTAATAAGTGCTTTATAAAAGTAATAACACTATTATAGTTTTAATATTTTTATAATGCAGTTAGTGACAAGAGTATTATTACTTTTGTAGTCATAAGTTTATTGTTTGTTTTGCTTTTATATTTTTCTCGCTAACAAAATTATAATAGTTTACTCCTTGAAAAAAAACTACACAGCTTTGCATAAACTAAAATTTTGAAGATCAGATATTTTTCCAGGGTTTGCAAATCGCAATCGCTTGATTCACTCTGGAAAAATATTTGGTCTTCAAAATTATGCAAAACATGCAAAGATTTATACTTTGTTTTTAAGAAACAAATTATTATAAGTTTGTTAGCAAGAAAGTCATAAAAAACAAAACAATAAACTTACGACTACAAAAGTAATAACACTTTAGTTACTAACTGCATTATAAAAGTAATACAACTATAATAGTGTTATTACTTTTATAAAGCACTTATTACTTTTAAAGTTCATTCTTTGTTCAAACAACATTAGTAATTCCAAACTTTAATTAGAGTAGAAAAGCATCTAGAAAAAATAAACTTCAGGAACTTTTACAAATCACTTAAACAACTTTATAAAAAGTTTAGCGTTATGAAAAACGTTATTAATAGTCCATAAAAATGCGCGTTAATTTTAAAATCAACGAATAAAAAAATTTTAATGGTTGATTTTAAAATTAACGCATATTTTTACAGACCATTAGTAACATTTTTCATAATGCTAAACTTTTTATATATTACATTTTTATGAAGTTGTTTGTTACGTTTTTATCAGTTACTTAAGTTTTAAATATATTTTAAATATTTGAATACCCACTCTATCTTTCTAGATGCTTTTCTACTTCAATTAAAATTTGGGATTGCTTATGTTGTTTGAACAAATAATGAATTATATAAGTTATAATAAAACAAATAATGAATTATATAAAGTGTAATTGCAATGCCATAACTGTTTTGTTTTTTTGTAATAAATTATTTTACTTCATAACAACATTTTTTATGTTTGATGCACGATTCAACATATTTAGCTAAAAACAAACTATAACACTCTTCATTATTTTTCTTATCAAACAATAGGTAGTACCGTGCTCAACTTGTTTCTCTGTGAAGCGGCCTTGTTAGTTGAGGTTCGTGTTTCGGAATTATAGTGTTGTTACGACCAAAAAGTAGCCTCCTTGACTATTGTGGCCTTCTTGGCCTTGGGGAGGTGAATAATTAAAAATATATATAAAGGAAAGTGGGGGCATAACCTCCCCTGTAATGTTTGGATTATTGTTATATGAAAATAAAAACAAAATGTTTTTTTAACAGTTTATTTCAAAAACCTCATCATTAAGCTTTAAATTGATGCAATAAAAAAAAAAA